ACAGCCCAATGTGACACTTATGACACGAGGACACTGTGGTTCAGTGGATTTTCTTGTTGCGCGAGTCTTAATACGGCAGCATAAAATAGCCTGTGATTGGCTGTCCCTTGCTGAAAGCCTCAAGGAGAATTATAAATGTACTAGCAGTAATAAAATATCTGCGTAGTTTATTTTTATATTCCATTGTGTCGCTGAGAGGAGAGGAACTGCCACATTTTTCATTCATATCGCACGCTTTGCGCGCACCATGCCGCTCAGATTTAATAGATTGTCACAAGTTTTCGAAACAGTTCCTTTTGTTTCTCCGTTTTCTTTTTTAATAGAAATGTGAGCAAAGTTAAAAGGCTCTTTATTGGAGGAGCCACATCTCTGGACACAAGATGATGCCATAAAAGCAGGAAGGCATGGAAAAGCAAAACATCAATCTGAACTAAGAGGGGGAAGCAATAAATCAGAGAATCATAGCCTTCAGCCCCGCCTTTAAAATCATTTAAACAGATTCAAAAACCCTGATTCTGCTCGAGTCTCTCTGTAAGCACCCTTATAAAGCCTTTATGTGCCTTAGACACAGAGGATAAAACCACAGATCCTTATTGAGAGACAGAAAAATGACACCCTGTTCCTGGTAAGTGGACGCTTTAAACAGTACTATCGGTATCAGGATCGAAGAGCGGACACGAGTAAGTAAGGCTGAAGGAAGTCATCCATCCAAAGCATTCTTGTAATATGTTTTAAAAACCTTTTCAGGTCTCTGTTTCTACTTTAAGGTCCACTCATATCTGAGGTTAAGGGGGTTTGTACGGCTTTATCAGATAGTCAGTCAGTCTGGATTGTTCCAATTTCCTTATTTCCCACTTTAGAAACATATCAGCTGTTCTGTTTAAACTCAGTGCCAGAGAGTGGGCTGGATAAATATGTAACAGTGTGCATCAGTGAGCGTCACCATATCTGCTCTTGGTGTGACAACGTGAGGCAGCTTTGCTCGTCACCCGGAGTAGAAGATCATAAAACAAGATATCTTTTTTTACTTTTACTTTATTTTACTAATACTTTATTTATTTATTTATTTTAAATTGAACCACTCATTTAAAAAAAAGTATCAGAAATATTACATGTTACAGGAAAACAGCCAAAGAAACCAAAATTTCCCTTTTCTATCCCTCTCTAAGAGGAAGCGCTGCACTTACTTGAACAATTAAAAGCTTTGGTCTGCAAGTATCAGAAGGACACATGTTCACCAAACTGCTGAGGATGGAAGGAGGGATTGGGATTGCTCAGAGCTAATGTTAGTTTGAAAAAGGAGAACCTGTTTCAGTTAAATGACACAGCTGGACTTACGTGACCCTGATACACGAATAATTACACGTGATTCTCAGGAAGGAGTATTTTGTGGTATTTTTACTTTGCTTGAGTGCAGTATTTCCCAAGTAAT